TTACGAATCAGGCTGCTAACCTCAGAGTCAGCAGTTCGAAACTACCAGCTATTCCGCTGGTGAGCTTGAACTGCCGACCTTACAATTCAAAGGGCTTTGAAGTCTGATGCATGAACCCACAGTGCCACACCAGGACTCCCTGGGTAAATGCTACCCTTTTAATCTCAAATGGTTAACCATTCTGTGGTTTTAATGCACTGCAAAGGATCTCTTTCAAATGTGTTAACCACTCCTATGGTGTTAACCACTTCACTAGTGTTGTTCTCCCTATAGACCTATCAACTATCTCTTAATTTTACTTTTCATGAACTATTTAAAGTCCTCTTATGTGCATTCTTACATGAAGTCTATTGAGTGTTTGTGTGTGGTTTTTTTTTAGTGCATTGATAGATTAAATTTAAAGAGAACTAAAATCTTTACCGTATTAATCTTTCAATCCATGAACACATATATATTTCTCTATTTAGTTAGCTCTTTGTTAATTGTCCTAAATAATGTAATTTATATATTTTTTCCACAAAATTCATAGATTTTTATTAGATTCATTCTGAAGCGTTTGGTATTTATTATGGCAATTTATAAGTTATATTTTTTAATTTCATTTTATACTCCTTGTTGCCATAGAAATAACATTTATTTTTATGTATTGATCTTATACTAAGCAATCTTCAAAAACTTTTATTGGTTTAGCTTTAGTTCTTTTAGATTTTCATCATACACAGTCTAATCCAAACAATCAAAGCCAGGTCTTAAAAAATATTTATTAAGTAAATCATTTTTACAAGTATTATCAACTTCAAAAGAAAAAGTAGAAGTGATGCTAGAGAAATAAAATTATACAAAATATAGGTGAAGAAGAGATTTAATATAAGAGAACATCATAAATATGTTTTACCATTACCTCAAGGTATCCAAATGTTAGACCAGGAAGGATAAAGATGAGATTTTTATCTATAGAAGTATTTCAGCTAATCATCTCAGGAAGAATTATATAAATTAGAGAATTACCATCCTGCAGTCGCTAATGGATTAATGAATAAAGGTGATAAGAGAGGCACACAGACATTATGTTGCCCCTACTGGAAGTATTCAGCATTATCTCTGAAGTGGTCTTGTCAATATGCAATTAAAAAAAAAAAAATGGATTCATATTATACTATTTTCTGAACTGTTGCATGTATTTGAGAATTTCTCTAGTAAACAATTTTTATTTATAAATATCATGTATTGAAATACAAGTGAAATTAAACAATTTTTGAAGAAATGCAATAGACCAAATTGTTCCCAACAGAAATAGAAAACTAATTAACTAAGACAAACTGAAATTCTAGTTTAGGCTCCACAGCGTCTCAAAATATTCCAGGACCTGCCATGTTGGAAGCCATTTGTACCAAATAATCAAGGGCAACAATGAATTGCCAATTTATGTAAAACCTTCCAAAACATACAAAAATATGGTAAATTACTAAAGTCAATTTAAAAGGCATGCTGTCCTTGATGCAAAGAACAAATAAAGCTACCCCAAGAAAAGAACACCTGAGCCAAGCTTATTCATACAAAGGCACGAATATATTTATAGCATGTCTAACAAAATTAATTAAATAAGGAAATAGGCCATGTTCAAGAAATACAAAGATGATGTAACGTTAGAAGAAACTGCCAGTTGGAATTTCTCTACAACAGTGGAGTAGAGGAGAAAATATCAGAAAATATCAGAGAAGAGAAAGCATTTGATTGTGTCCAGAGGTATAGAAAAAGTGCTTGGGGGGGGGGAAATCAACACAATTTATGGTAAAAAAAAAAAAAACACGTAGCAAAATAACATTCGTAGGGAATTTCCATTGCTTAAAATCTACAGCAAGCTTAGAATGTTAGGAATATGGTACAGCCTCTAGTGTTGAATTATACTGGAATGCATAACCAGAGCAATAAGAATATAAAAATAAATAAGAGGTAGGAATATTGGAAAGAAAGTAATAAATGGTGACAATATGGTCCTCTAATTAGAAAATCCAAAGGGACTAGAGCACAAAATACCCAAATGAACAAGAGATGTTAGAAAGCTGTTGTGTAGAAGATGACGATAGCAAAATCAGGAGCACAGCCATACCAAATCAATAACTAATTAGGACAAGTAATGGAAACGATCCCAACTACAACAGGAACAATACCCAACATTTACCTAAAAAGAAACCTAATAAAAATGTACACAATCTTTTTAAAAGGTAACTATAAAAATAACTGGTAGACTTTTCTAAAAGAAGTCCCAAATAATAGAGCAATACCCTACTTAAGGAGTCCTGGTGTGGCACTGTGGGTTAAGTGCCAGACTGCAAACCTGTTTGAACTGCAAGATCAGCAGTTCAATTTCACTAGCCGTTCCTTGGAAACCCTATATAGGGTCACTTTGGGTCAGAATTGACTCGACGGCTCTTAACAACAACAAAAACCCTATTTAAGGAGCACTGGTAGCACAGTGGTTACGAATTGGGCTGCTAATCGAAAGGTAAGTAGTTCAAATCTACCAGCAGCTCAGCAGGAGAAAGGTGAGACTTTCTGCTCCTGTAAACATGTACAGCCTCAGAAACCCTATATACAGCCGTTATGAGTCAGAACTGACTGGATGGCACACCACCACTTTATGTTTATTCACTTATAAAAGGTAATAGTAAAGATGTCAGTTATCCTTAGCTTATTTATAGATTTAGTAGCTTTCCAAGATGGCAACCAGACAAAAGTTGCTGTTTCCTGACGTCAATTCTAGAGAAGCTGTAGAAAGGAGAAGGTAAGAATAATATAAACAATAGCAAAACAAAAACAAAAAGAAACCCCAGAAACTTCTGGGAGAGACTGAATCTGTGTTGAACTAGCATTTCTGTGTGGACAGGTAGGGGCATGTCTTGAAGTTAAGAAAGACCTATGGCCTGCACTACAAGACAGATGACAGGATCGTTTGCAGGAAAGAATGTAAACTTCTGCCCTTGCTTCTTCCTAGTGTGTCTTGGGACAGTTTCTACAGCTTCATCCAGGCAACACCTCAGGTGCTGGTACCAAGATATCAGACGGCATCAAAGTTTGGGCTAGTTGAGGCAATCTGGCTTCAGTGCTGTACTAATACCACCTGAAAGTTCTTTTGATGGTGAGGACTGGCCTTTAGAAAATAATAGCATTATAATCAAATATAAAGAATGAAAAGACTGAATCACACATAGCAGGGGCAGGCATTCTTTCATGGAAAAAAATGTACTTACAAGCAAATACACACACACACACACACACACACACACACTTGCTAAAGTGTGACTATATTTATTACTATGGTGGTAGTGATGGTTGTATGCCCCTGAGTCGTTTCTGACTCATAGCCACCTTGTATAGGGGTTTCCAAGGCTGTTAATCTTTTCTCCTGTGGAGCAACTGGTAAATTTGAACTGCTGACCTTGGGGTTAGCAGCCTAGCTCATAATTCACTATGCTATCAGGGCTCCCTCCATATTTACTACTATAAATGAGAGTTGTTTTTTGTTTTGTTTTGTTTTGTTTTTTTAAGTCACTCTACTGGACTGAACAATATTAAATAATGTCAAATAATCTGGTCTCATAAAATCATGTGACATAGCCTCGTCTCCTTAGAAAGTAGAATTTTGGAACCAAAGATTTCCAAACATCTAAGTTTGGCTGGTGAATAGCCCACTACCTGACCTGAGCCCCCTCCCTACCTTGTGTTGCAGTGTTCCTAGTTAGCCCAAGACTCTGATTCTTTTTCTACAAGAGGGATATCCTATAGACCCCTGTCCCTGCTGTCATCCCTGAAAGGCTCGAGGGTCTAGATCTCTAGGGTCTCAGGGAAATGAGAACCTTGATCTGAGGAATGTAGTCGCAGATCTTCAGAGGGGAGACAGCAGAGACAATGCACAGAGTCAAGGTGAAGAGCCTTGGTGAGGACCCTTAGTGAGAATTGCTAGATACCCCCCTCTGAACCTCTGAGGTGCCCTTGAGTCCTGCCCCACCTACCCCATCCCAGCCTCCTCCATGTTGATGCTGGGAAGGGAAGCCTGGAGCCTTTCTCAGAAGTCCATGAGTCACCTCAATTTTGTTTGGAAATATCAGGGAATAAAGTTCTTGGGCAGAGCTAGTGGTCTCAGGTCAGCAGAGGGAGAAAGCCCAGACCCTATATGAAGTCAAGACAAGGGCCCTGAGTGAGGGGACACCCTACTCCACAACAGAGGGGCCGGCACAGAGTCTTTCCCTTACAGACCACCATAGGAGGAGCCAGGCAAGGCTGTTAAGCAGAGGAGTCTCCTTTTACCCTCCAGGGCTCTTAGAGCTATAGGGGTCATGATGTTATGTTGTTGTTGTTGTTGTTGTTGTTGTTGTTGTTGTTGTTGTTAAGTACCGTTGGTTCCGACTCATAATGACCCTGCATAGGGTTTCCAAGGCTGTAATGGGGGGTGGCGTAATGAGTGATGACTGAAAGCCATAATTATCCAGGAGCAAAAGGGTGCCCTAAAACCTTTCCCTTGTTGTCAGTGCCAAGTGGGTCCCTTCAAGAGCCACCAATCCAGGAGCCACTCCCTCCCAGGGTGGGGAGCCTGAGGGAGGGAGGTGAAGTGATTAGTATAAATGTAAATGCATCTGAGGGGAGGGGCCAACAGTTGACTTGATGATACTGAATGGGGCGATTACTCCACCCCAGAAGAGAGGGGGCCCCACAGATTTTGCTCTGAATCCCATGAAGCCACAGGCAGGGTTGGCAGGTTGAAGCCTAAGGCATACTCTAACTTCCTCCACAGGGTTTTCAAGGGACAGGCTGATCTGTAGAACTGGAGCCTTGTGGGTTGTTAGAGAAGCGCCCTGAAGGAAAACTGCACTAAGGAGGTCCAAGATAGTATCTCCCTGCTGAAGGTGTTCACACCCTCTTCCCCTCCCTCAGCCAGTGGGTTCACATCACCTGCTCTCTTGCCCACAGTCCTGTGTCTGCTGTCCCTGAGAAGAGTCATCATGCCTCGTGGTCATAAAAGTAAGCTCCGTGCCCGTGAGAAACGCCGCCAGGCCCGAGATGACACCCAGGGTCTCCAGTTCACTGCAACAGAGGAAGAAGGGTCCCTTTCCTCGTCTTCTGTTTTGGGAGCGACTTCCCAGAGCTCACCTACTGATGAATCACATAGCACTCACCAGGGTCCTCGAAGAGCCCCATCCACTGCTGCAACTTCTGCAGATGTTTCATGCAGAAGATCTGATGAAGGTGCCACCGATCAAGATGAAGAGACACCAAGAGTCTCACAGCCTTCACACCCCACTGATCGTCCACGCAGAACCCCTCTAGACCAGAAGGCAATTTTGCTGGTTCAGTTCCTGCTACGAAAGTATAACATGAAAGAAACCATAACAAAGGAAGACATGCTGAAGTATGTCATCAGAAGGTACAAGGATCACTTCGATGAAATCCTCAGGAGAGCCTCAGAGCTCATGGTGCTGGCCTTTGGCATTGATGTGAAGGAAGTCGACACCACCAGGCACTGCTATGCCCTTATCAGCAAATTGCAGTGCACCAGTGATGGCGAGCTGAGTGCTGAGGAATTCGTGCCCAAGACCGGCCTCCTGATGACCGTCCTGTGTGTGATCTTCATGAAGGGCAACCATGCCACTGAGGAAGATATCTGGGAAGTGCTTAATGTGATGGGGATATATGCAGGACGGAAGCACTTCATCTATGGGGAGCCCAGGAAGCTCATCACCAAAGATTTGGTGCAGGAAAAGTACCTGGAGTATCGCCAGGTCCCCAACAGTGAGCCTCCACGCTATGAGTTCCTGTGGGGGCCCAGAGCCCATGTTGAAACCAGCAAGATGCAAGTCCTGGAGTTTTTGGCCAAGATCTATGATACCGTGCCCACTGCCTTCCCAGCCTGGTATGAAGAGGCTTTGAGAGAAGAAGAAGAGAGAGCCCGATCCCGATTTGCAGCTCTGGCTCGTACTAATGGGATAGCAAGTGCATGACCCAGAGTATCCAGCAACTATCAACCTTAGTGAAGTCTGAACCAGTTTTCTTCACTCTGTGTTTAAAGAAAGCAGTTAACCTTCTAAGTGGTGGGGGTAGGAGGCAAAGTAGCTGAGAGGGAACAGTGAGTATCCTATCTCTGTACCTGTTCTTCATGAGTAATTTCTAGATTTCTCTTTAGTTGTTGGAATTTTTCAAATGTTGCTTTAAAAAAAAAAGGTTTAATTAGCTTCATAATCTAAGTGTATGAATTATATTGGTTACATGATTATTACTAACTAAGAAATTGAAGAGTAAGGAGTATGCTATTTTAGAAGACAAATTGGTAAATCTTTCATCTTAGTGATCTGGAACGAGAAAAGATGGCTTTGGAACAGGTATAGGTGTATACTTAGAAATGTGAAAGATAACACCAATAAAATAATTGTTATTAAGAAATGGAAAAAAAATAAGTAAAAGTTGTTCAATACTTGGCTTTTGTTTTTCCTTCCATCTTGTTATTCTGCAAAATTAAAAGTGAGATAGCTGAATTTGCTTAATTTGTTAAAGAATGTAGGAGAAATTAAATGGAAATAAATTTGATTTCTTGCACACTTGTGTTTATTTATTTATAAATGTAAATTGAGCATCTGCTCTTCAGAAGACTCTCTGATAGTACTAAATAAACAAGACCCAGGCCCTGCCCACAGAATTTTGGAGACCCAGGGCAGCAGTCATATAAGGAAAATGATGCGATAACCTCCAAGACATAAATGATAAGTTCAGAGAAATGAGGAAGTAGGGATAGGACCCAGATGAGTTCAGTCAAGTGTAAATGCCCTGAAGCAAGGCAGTTTGGGACTTTGGAAAACTGTAAGTTCTTCAGTTGTTGTTCAGTGCCATCGAGTCGGTTCCGACCCATAGCGAACCTGTATAGGGTTTCCGAGGAGCAGCTGGTGAGCTTGAACCACCGACCCTGCAGTTCAAATGGCTTTGCAGTCTGGCGCATTAACCCACAGTGCCACACCAGGACTCCCAGTTCTTCAGAGTCAGTTAATATTAAATTAAATTGGGTGGTGGATCATATGAGAGTGTGGGAATGGTGCTCAGGGGCCAGATACTCAGATGAGTGTTTCAGAATTGAGAAACTAAGCCTGGCATAGAGAAATGGATTTAGCAGTCACTTTGGCATTATCAGTAAAACTAGAGAGAATTCTCCACCTGGGCTAGGATTGAAAGGTGTCTGGTGCGCTTGTCCCAGTGCACTAGAACATAGGCACTGACTGATGCATATCATTGCCAGTGCATTTCTGAGAAATAAAGGGCAATACTCTGGTAGCGTAGTGGTTACAAATCGGACTGTGAACCTCAAGGTCAGCAGTTCGAAACTACCAGCTGTTCCGCAGGAGAAAGATGAGACTTTCTGCTCCTGTTAAGATTTACAGCCTCAGAAACCCTGTACAAGGTAGCTATGAGTCGGAACCGACTCCATGGCACATCACCACCACCACCAGGAGAGCCAGAGCTCACTCTATTAAAAGGTTGTTTCTTTTAAGTTATTTTAAGTTATTGGGCAAGCTCTACATGAACTGGATATTTCATTGGCTTGAAATAAACAAAAATAGGCATAATCTTCATCCAAACGCAGCTGGATAGGAGGAAGGAAGGGAGGAAAGAAGTTGGTTCTTGGCACAAATTCTAGGAGTTGCATTTAGATGGGGAGGACTCCCCAACAGTCACATCAAACAACGTGTCCTCTGGGATTTACTAAAGTTTTATTTTTAATGCTAATCTACAGCACTGCATATTCTATGACATATCCTGGATCAAAAAAAGAAAAAAATTCTCAGCCGATCAGGTGGCATCATCTGGGATCAAAACAGTCATAGTAATACTAGCTATTCTGTAAAGTCTCGATGAATGACAGACATGGTGCCAGGTGCTTTACATACATTACACACATTCCCACAGCCTTAGAAGACAGAACTTATCAAACCCTCTTCGCACATGAAGAATCAGGGGCTCATGGCGTTTGGTAATGTGCCTAAGGTCACATGGTTAGTAAGTGATACATTGGACCCCTGGTCTGAATTTGTTTACAGCACTCACTGTTCCACTCTTCTCAGCCTCAGGTGGTCCTTTTATCTCTTAAATCACTTTTCTTCTCACTGCCCCAAAATATATCTCATGTGATCAAAAGGAGACTATACCCAAATTAATAAAATCAGGTCTAGAGGAGGAAGGTGAACGTGAGAATCAAATATGCTCGAAATTGTATGAGGGCTTCCTTTGCCCAACCTCCTCCTGCCTCTACCCACAGGATCTTAGGGTTCTGACCTTTCCCACATTCCAGCACCTTTTCCTGAGTCTCCCCCCTCCCCCAATCCAACTCTACAACTGCTTGAACACAACCATAACTGCATTTTGAATTGTGTACAGCCCACTCCTGCTGGCAAGCTCTTCCCTGCCTTCTCTTCTGAAGACTGCACCTGTTCCCAGTGGAACAAACAACCCAGAATCACCCTATCTTAGTGCCTCCAACTCCCTACAGCCGTCCCCTACCTGTCCTGTCCTTCACCATTGAATGCCTCTGATTAAAAAAAAAAAACAGCAGACCTTTCCACAGACTTGTTCTTAGCTTATTGAGATTATAGAGGCCGTTACAAAGGTCAGTGCAGAAAGGTGCTGTTGAGTGAAGAAAGCTGCAATTTCCTTGCTGAGATTTACAGAGTCCTTTTGAAAATCAGTGTGATTCTATATTTGAGACACCTGTCACATAGTAGGCAGTAAGGAAAAAACAAAAAATGAGAATTGCAAGACAGGTATGGCCTTCTCAGAAACCCATCCACGAATGGAGAGGGTCTTTGTCATAACAAATTATAACAGTGCACTTTATTGAGCACCTACAATCTAGCAGTTTATGGGCGAGACTGCAAATGCTTATCTTTGCAACCCTTGGTAGTTTGTTGGGGATACTACGTTTCTAGTCCACTTATAGTTATGAAAGGTCAGATGATTCTTCTTGCCATTGAAACAAGAGCAGGAGCCATGTTTGTCACTTAAAGGCATTTGTGAAATAGTATGCCACCTCCAAAGGAGTTCTGGTGAAGCAGTGGTTTAAGCATTGGGCTGCTACCTCAAAGGTCAGCAGTTGGAACCCACCTATCAGCTGTGCCAAGGGAGAAAGATGTGGCTGCTGCTTCTGTAAAGGTTTACAGCTTTGGAAATTCCATAGAGTAGTTCAGCTCTGTTCTGTAGGGTCACTATGAATTGGAATCAGCTAGAAGGCTCCAAGGAGCCCTGGGGGCACAGTGGATAACATGCTTGGCTGCTAACCAAAAGATCAGGATCTTGTTAAAATGTACATTCTGATTCAGTGTATCTGGGATGGAAAAGCAAATTCTCAGCAAGGGGTTTGACCTCACCAGCTGTTCTGCAAGAGGAAGATGTAACAACCTGTGTCCCTAAAGGTTGCAAAGGAGGAAGCCCTTGGGGGCAGTTCTACTATGTTTTACAGCGTCTTTATGAGTCACAATCAACTCCAAGGCAATGGCTAGCAGTTTGCTACCTCCATGTTTTCTATTCCATTCAGCAACAAACCTAGGGATCCTGTGTGGAGATGTCAAATCAGGATGGAAGCAGCCTGGATCCTTGAGTCACCAGAAAGTGGAGAGCCCTGCCAATCCATATATGCACAAGAAATTCTCTTTATTTTGTTAAACTATTTAGATTTCAGGCTCTTCCATTACATCCATTAGCAAATGCTTTGTTTGACCAACACACAGCTACTAGGGAGCACTGGTGGCACTGTAGGGTAGGCGCTGGACTATTAACCAAAAACTCACGAGTGGCTTTCTGCTTCCATAAAGATTTACAACCTCAGAAACCCTACACAGGGTTCCTATGTGTAAGAACGAACTCGACGACACCTAATAACAATAACTACAACACAGCTACTATTTCTATGATCCGGCTTTCTTAATTATTTAATTACAAAACGAATAGTGCATAATCTTGTTGCTCCCCCAAAATTCCTCCAAAATTCATTCCTCTCCTCAGAAGTAATCACAATTTAAAAAGCATTTGTATCATTTTAAAGTTTATTCTGGCTGTTTCTTATGCAGCTGTGCTAATATATATATATATAGTTGTTGTTGTTAAGTGCCGGCGAGTCGGTTCAGACCCATAGCGACCTTGTAACCCTATACAGGGTTTCCGAGGCTGTAAATCTTTATGGGAGCAGAAAGCCTCATCTTTCTCCCATGGAGCAGCTGGTAGTTTCGAACTGCTGACCTTGTGGTTCGCAGTTCGATTCATAACCACTATGCTAACAGAGCTCTCTCTCTATATAGATAGATAGATAGATAGATAGATAGATAGATAGATAGATAGATAGATAGATAGATAGATAGATAGATAGTGAGTTTTTTAACTTGTATGGACAAAGATGATGTAGTACAAATTGTCCTAACTTTTAACCTTGCCACTGTACATATTAATGCAGGTTCTGTCTATGATAGCACAGATAGATCCACCTCACTTTTGAAACTGCTCCTGAAAATTCTAGAATACAATATAAAGCCATAATTAATCTGACCATCTTTCTCCTATGAACATATCAGTTGTTTCCCATTTGTTGTTATGACTAATAGAACTGATGTCAGCATTGTTGAACAAAAATTCTTGGGCAAGTATGCATATTGTCTTATAGGAAAGACATAGCAAGAAGCAAATTGGATTAAAGTAGAAAGAATGTGATGACTGTAAATCTTTATAAATGTTGCTGAAGTTCTGTTTCAATAATGTTGTACCAATTCATATTCTCACAAATGAATATATGTGAACACTCTACAGTCTCCCAAGCTTTCTATTTTAGCAGTCTTTGAAATTTCTGTCAAACTTTTGGGTGAAAAAACATTTCCTTGCTGTTATTTTAATGCGCCAGACTGCAAAACCATTTGAAGTGTAAGGTCGATGGTTCAAGCTCACCAGCTGCTCCTTGGAAACCCTACATAGGGTC